AAATCACAAAGCTGATATCGACAGAAGAGTGGCTGAGCTTATGTAATACAAATAATATGTGATGTCCCTTCCTGTAAATCCTCTGTCCTGTGGTCAAAGCTCAATTTGTCATCAATAAACATGCCAAGGTATTTGTATCTGTCGAGCTGCTCCACAGCTTAGCTCTTGATAACATCGGCATCTGAAATCGATCGACACGCCTGGGGGCGAAGCTACAAAAAAAATGAATTCTTGCACCACTCAGGCTGTCCATTTGTCCCGTGGGAGTACATCTGTAAAAGCATAGTCTGTGGTCGATCATATGCTGGGGTATAGTGCAGGAACAAAAACAATAAAAAACGACCAAATTCAATTTTCGACTACATCCTTAAGATACAAATGCACAGTGCAAATCATACAGGAATAAAAGATTTAGGAGATAAAACAAAGAATACTGAATCAAGTCAATTAAATGTGACCGATCAGCCAGACTTTGTTTTTCTGTTGGTTTTGTAAATAAAAAGTGCAAGATTCAAAAAGTAGACTGGAAACTTTAAGAAGAGTAGGGGTATTATAGAAGAAATTTAGCAGGGAAAGTATTAAGACAGCTGCCCAAAGCCTCACTCCCTCTGCTGGTCTCCATAGTTCACCCTGGTGCCAGGTGTCCCCAAGGTTAACTGACGCACAGGCCACCTTCCATCTATCTTGCTTTAAATGGGTTTAACATTTTGAGCCAAAGCACACAGCCAATAGCAGCAAAATATGGTACATCTCTTGAATATTACAAACACACACGGGGATGCTCTTTAAGAGTTGAGTACTGAGGGTGACAAATGATTGAAATCAGAATGGATCAGTGAAGGTTTGTTTTAGTTCTTTTCCTCTCTCACCCTCAATGCAAAAGAAGGCTGAGCTCAGGTTGAAGGGGGAAGCGCCTGACATATCTTTAAAAGCAGCGTGCTGTGCTCAGATACTGCCTGCTGTGCACTGGCTTTGATAGCAGCCAGAGAAAAGTTGTATAAATGATGATGCTCATCATGCGGTAGTAGCAGGAGTTTGACATTCTGCATTGCAGCTCCAGTTCCCAGTAACTCGGTGAAGGTAAAAAAAAATACCTTAAATTTTTAAGGATCTCCTCGTTGGATATTGCAAAAACAGATTCTAATATGTGAGTGAGGGCATTACTAACATTTAAAAAAGTTACATGTCATTCTGCAGCAATGAAAAAACAAAGACACATGTTTTGCTCCTTTGAATTTTGATGTGTTTTTTTTATGAGCTTGGTAAAAACACATTGGCGTTTGTGAACAATGTTTTATCGTTGTGTCCTTGGGCAAGACACTTCACCTGTTGCCTACTGGTGGTGGTCAGAGGGCCCGGTGGCGCCAGTGTCCGGCAGCCTCGCCTCTGTCAGTGCACCCCAGGGTGGCTGTGGCTACAATGTAGCTTGCCATCACCAGTGTGTGAATGGGTGGATGACTGAATGTGTAAAGCGCTATACAAATACAGGCCTTTTACCATTTTATTAAAGCCCTTTTTTTTCCCATTTTGCCCATTAAATGAATGAATGAATACTAGAGTGTTGCATTTTTCCCGGGTTCACAACTGGTGATGCAGTTAAAAATTATTTTAAACCTGTGACAAAATATTGTTTTATCAATTTAGCCCATGAATACAATTAGGTGTAAAAACACCCCGATACCCAAAACTGTGTCTGTATTATCAACACTAATCCAAAATGTGCTGTACTACTTATAATAAAGGTGAGATGTAAGCTCATTCGTAAATGTTTTTGTAGTTTTATTTTCGTGTTTTATTTACTATTTTCCATATAATTAAAAATGGCTCTACAGTAAAACGGATTTATTAAACAGTTACAGTTTGACATATTGTGAGTTACACTAGTACAGCGGTCCCCAACCTTTTTTGGGCCATGGACCGGTTTACATCCCACAATATTTTTACGGACCGGCCTTTAAGGTGTCGCGGATAAATACAACAAAATAAAACCAGTACCGGTACCAAAAAAAAGAAGGTTTATTCATAACACACGGGAAAAGACCAAGGAAAACAGAGTTAACGATAAAAACGATTAAAAAATAACGATAAAAACCCTGAAAACCATAAATTTTACACCCGAGCCTCAACTATCACGGCCCAGTACCAAACGGCACCAAGCGGTAGCGGTCCGTTGCCCGGGGGTTGGGGACCGCTGCACTAGTCGACTTACTACATACACTGAGACGACCATTTCTACGACAATAAGATAATTTCTTCAAACCAGGGCCATGTAGAAAGCATCACAGTAGTGGCTGTGTTAGACAACACTTTAAAACTATGTGGTAAAATATTTTGTATCTATCACTTACAGGACACATTTGAATGGATATAATTTCCTATAGACTGATACTGATGGTGTCATTTTCACCCATCTGTGAGAGATACTGTTAACACTGTGGTATGCTGAGTGGACACCTGCCATCCACAGCTGAATCTGCACTCTGGAGCTTAAAATCTTTATCACTGCCTTTCCTTGTAATATTTAGAAGCTTGGAGCTATTAGTTTACTACTTCTCACCCAGCTAAACCCATAAAGCAAACCAATCAAAACCCCAGCGCAACACGGAGGCTTAGAGAAATCTATTGGCTTTACTGGGCTATTGATCTTGCCCTCCAGAGCCAGGGCCTGTGTGTAGCTTTATCTTACTTTACAAGTAAGATAAAGAGATATCTATAACAGTAAAAAATGACAAAGATTTGAATGAGGGCTGTTTACCTCTTTATTAGGGGTAAATTACTTGATTATTATTATCACATGTGGGGTCGTGCAGCTTGGTGTCGGCCTGAAGTCAATTGGATTTTGTCATTTCATTTCTAATGGGAAAATAAAATAAAATGTAACACTTGCACAGGTCATGGATGAGGCAGTCTCAGAAAATCAGCTGGCCCTTTGCATGACACGGATGGTCGATGTTTCCGTGTGATAACAGCAAATTGGAAATGTGGGAAGCGTGTAGTGTTCTTATTCACTAGGGCCTCTGTAGCAAATACCCATTTGCACAATATTGTTGGGTGAAGAAAATGGCTGAGCACTCAAGTTAAACTCATTAGCAAGCCCAGCGGGGGCTTTTTTTTCACCAACTACCAAGAAATCTGAGGCTGCTTTCATTATGCATTCTCCCATAGTGCTTCCAGTCTCTATTTGGTTGGATAAAGAGCATTTAAGATTTGGAGAGCAGAGACAGAAACGACACTGGCTTCAAGCAACATGCTTTAAGATATTAGTACATATTCTTAAACTGTGCTTCTTGATAACAGATCAGTCTAGATGGAAACACGTAAAGTCAAGCTTGATAGTTGGGAGTTGAATGGATTAAGCCTCCACTAGTCCTCCACCTTCCAAATGCGGTTTTTCAAATATCATTTATTTTTTTCTATAGACAATCTAACAGTATTAGCTTATTAAGACAAGTATGGTGTGAAGTGACTCGTTGGAGCTGTTGTTTTGTCTTCTGATCATAATGATGATACATGAGCTGCAGCAGAGCTGGTCCTCTGTATCGTGCTGGTGACTGCAGGTGTATGCCTGGATCAAAGTGTAAATGGATCTTGGAGTCAGTTTGACAAATCCTGGCAGGCAGCACCCACGCATTCCACACACATCCCTGCAAGAACAATGCGGGTGAGAGAAAAGGCAGAAAACCACCCCTTTGTAGGCCGTGATGCTCAGGGGATCGATCAAGGTCAACACCGCCTGCATCTGGTTTTGGAAGTACTTGTGTTCACTGATCAATATTTATCTGTTTATGATTCCTTGAGAAAGAGCGTTTCATCCTAGTGGTGTCTGTGGCCATCTGTAATCTGATTACTTTTTTCAAGTAACGAGTAATGTAAGGGATTACTATTGCAAAAACGGTAATTAGATTACCGTTACTTTCACGTAAGCACGCTGCGTTATTAAAACCGTGATTTTTTGCGAGAATGCAACGTTTGTGACAACAGCTGTGTGCAGATCAACAATGGATAATATATCGAGTGCGGGAGAGAGTATGAGCGTGCAGCGTTTAAAGCGTGGAAGTACTGACCTTACTTGGAGTTTGATTCCATAAAAAGTGACAAAAACATTAGTGTCCACTGTTCACTGCGTGGGAAGAAAACTTGTTTTTACAGCGAAAAAAACCCCTAAACTTCCAAGCAAGCACTGAGTGCGCTACCACGTAACGGGAACTTCACAGAGAAACTCGCGGCTCCCGACGACCCGAAAAACAAACGCAAAACAAAAAAAACACAGCACAACCAACCCAGGGCGGGCGGCGGGGGGTCCAGGACGGAGGGCCCTAAAACCTCTCCGTCAACACTAGACAACAAAAAAGAAAAACCAAGTTCAATAGTCCAACCACTTCCCTAATGGCAGCAACAGTTCTGGCGGCCGACCCAGTGGACAGCAAAACAGGCGAAGCCCGCTGTGGGTCAGGCAGTGGTGGAGAAACAGTTCAGGTGGCCTACCTCGGGTCCAGTGGCAGCAATCGAGCACGTCAGGCGGCCTACCACGGGTCCAATAGCGGAGACACTGCAGCTCCGGCGGGTGACCACGGATCCGGCAGCAGCGGAGAAACAGTTCAGGTGGCTTGCCACGGATTCGGTGGCGGTGTTGCATCTCAGGTGGCCTGCCAAGCGTCCAGTGGTTGCGGCGTAGCTCCGGCGGCCTGCTGCGGGTGCTGCGGTGATTCAGCTCCGGTGAGCGATAGAGCAGAAAGGCCCATGATCCCCGATGAGCTGAACGTGGACGGCGTGGAGGGCGCGCTGGACTTGGACGGCGTAGACGGTGTGGAGGGCGCACTGGACGTGCACGGCATAGACGGCGTGGAGGGCGCGCTGGACGTGGATGGCGTAGACGGTGTGGAGGGCGTGCTGGACGTGGACGGCGTGGAGGGCGCGCTGGAGGTGGATGGCGTAGACGGTGTGGAGGGCGTGCTGGACGTGGACGGCGTGGAGATGTATCCTGCACACTGACCCCCTGCTTAGGCTGATCGGGTCCCTCTGACACGCCGACCTCTGATGGCGATGCGCGCTCCTCCAGCCCGCCGAATTCCCGCTCCGGCTCACAGGGCTCCTCCTGCTCGCCGAGTTCCCGCTCTGGCTCACAGGGCTCCTCCGGCTCGCCGAGCTGCTCCTCATCAGGCGGTGCGGGCTCCTCGCCGAGCTGCTCCTCGCCGAGCTGCTCCTCGCCGAGCTGCTCCCCCGGCTGCGGCGCGGGCTCCGCCGGCTGCGGCGCGGGCTCCCCCCGCTCGCTGAGCTCCTGCTCTGGCTCGCCGAGCTCCGCAGCAGGCGGTGGAGATGACGGCAGTGTAGTTGAAGCGGATGGTGGAACAGATGATAGCTGAAGCGGCCCCTCGGACCCTTCAGCAGAGACACATGCGTGACCAGCAGGTATCGAGATCTCTGGCAAAGATGAAGTTGGTTGAGACAGCACCTGGCTCACAGCCGGTTCGTGATGCTGCGGATGGGGCTGTGCGGGGCAGTCAGTCTGTTCCAGCCCAGGTAAACAGTCCTCACTTGACAGACTGAGCTCCTCTGAACATCCTGCAGAGGATCGAAGGGGCTGGGCAGCTGGCTGTGCTACGGCTACAGGCTGGGCAGCAGGCTGTGCTACGGCTACAGGCTGGGCAGCTGGCTGTGCTACGGCTACAGGCTGGGCAGCAGGCTGTGCTACGGCTACAGGCTGGGCAGCTGGCTGTGCTACGACTACATGCTGGGCAGCAGGCTGTGTTATGGCTACAGGCTGGGCAGCTGGCTGTGTTATGGCTACAGGCTGCGCAGCAGGCTGTGCTATGTCTACAGGCTGGGCAGCTGGCTGTGCTATGGCTACAGGCTGGGCAGCTGGCTGTGCTATGGCTACAGGCTGGGCAGCTGGCTGTGCTACGGCTACAGGACCAGCAGGCACACGGGCCTCTGGCAGGGACGGAACAGGACCAGCAGGCACACGGGCCTCTGGCAGGGACATGGCAGACTGCAGCTGCACAGAGCATTGATTGTGCTCAGGCAGCGACGGCCGGGTGCGGTCCTCAGCTGGCTTCTTAACCTCCAGGGGTCCAGAGTCTGCTGGGGGGCTGAAACCTAGCCTCTGGGGAGGCCCTGGAGTGCATCTTAGTCTCAGAACTGGCCCGCTCTTGAGGAAAGTTTACAGGATTGTTTGGTTTGTCTCTCTGCCTGGAACGAATGGGTGAACAAGGGTTTCTTTCGGGTGAAATTGACCTAGCTGGTTGTACAGGAGGAGTGGGTGAAGATGATGGCTGAACAGGTGGCTGAGCTGAGGGCGACTGAAGTAACGGTTGAGACAATAATGGCGGGGAAGTTGGAGACTGAACGGAGGATAAGGCTAATGATTCTTCTGCCAACTGGGCTACTGACTGGGCTATGGATTGTAACATGGTTTGTAACAAGTCTGGCTGTGACTGTAACTGAGCTTGAGGCCGGGCGGCTAACTGAGCTTGAGGCCGGGTGGCTACCTGAGCTTGAGGCCGGGCGGCTACCTGAGTCACAGGCTTGGCGGTCTCGCAGTGCCTAAATAAACAAACAGATGGAGTGGAAAATGAAAAATTGTCTTTATGACTCACCACAGCCGGTTGTTGTGAAGTCCAGGAATCCGGCTGCGGTGAAAAGCGCCGGCGGCGCGAGCGTCGCTTCTTAGACGATGCCGGGGCCGGCGTGTCAGGCTGCGGATCCCCCAGCTGGTCGGGCTGGAGAGCAGCCTGAACAGGAGAGTCGAGGTGGAGCGTGTTAGCCAGAAAGTCCGCGACGATCGGGTAGAGCGTATCCAGCACCCAAGGGAAGCAAGACAGCGTCTCTTCCAGCCGCTTTTCCACGACGCGACGAAATCCTTCCTCGTGCGCCTCCAGCCAAAGGTCGCAGAGTCTATTAACTTTATCCGTCACCTTCCTCCTGAATCTCTCCGATGAGTCCGCTGGGTCCATGATTGGCGGGATTATTTTGTCACGGGCTGCGACGGCAGACCGTGGAGTTGTAGAGAAAGAAGGGCCCAAACGCGAGACTCTAGTGAAAGACAGTGGATTTATTTATGGACAGAAACGACAACTATATACAATCCAAGCACTGTGACTCCTGTGGCGATTCCTCTAAGAATCCCACACAGTGCACGTGTCCATAGCAGTGAAAAGGTGACAACTCCAAAAACCCGATTCCACTCCGTGATTTCCCCTCGTGACGACGTTCCTGACTCCCGACCCCTGGTGACACAAAAACACACACAGCTCAGCAGGCAGCCTTTAGTAGCGAAGCCGATCTCAACACACTAATCTTCGGAGGTACTTAACAGGTTCGACTTAGTATAATCCCGCGCTGACTGGGGCTCCGCCACCTTCTTAAATAAGACGCCCCTCATGAAGCTATCAGCTGCAGCTGGTGAGGGCTAATGGGCGACAGGTGCGGCAGTCCCCAGTGCGGGAACACTTCCGGGTCGCAGTCCCCTCAGCGACCCCAAAGCATCCGGGAGCACACAGGGAGAAAGGACAAAAAGGGAGAGAAAACCACCAAAACATAACATACGGAAAAACATATACAAGAAATACATGAGCTCTGGGTCATCAGACCCAGACCATGACAAAAAGTAGCATTGGGCTGAAAGATCTATTTCTTTATCACCTATTCAGGTTGTCAATCGTGTTCTTAAAAAGTAACTAAGTAACTAAGTAATTAATTACTTTTGAAAATAAGTAATCAGCAAAGTAATGGGATTACTTTTTGGGGGAAGTAATCAGTAATTAGTTACTGATTACTTTTTCAAGTAACTTGACCAACACTGGTGGCCATAGAAAAAAAATCACATTACATGTAAGATGGCTCCAGACAGCACCAACAAGGCTAAAAACAGGTTACAAGTGCATTTAAAATACTGAAAACAGTTATTTAAGTGGCTGTAATCAGAAGAGTCGCAGTTGAGTGTAGAAAGTCAGGCACAGTGAGTGTGCATATTTTCACCATTATCATCCTAAAGCTTGTTTTATGACATAATGTCTAATCACTACATAAGCCGATTCTCAGCATATTCTCACTGCCTGCCAAACCATGCTTATGTTTTTGGTTTTTGTTTATTTCATAAACATGGATGTCCAGTTTGGTGTCCTCGAAGTTCTACCTTTGCTCTTGGCATTTTTCTTCTTATATGGTTTTCTGTCAATAGTAATTGGAAACAGTGTCAGCACTAGGTTTACCATTTGTATTTTTTGTAGGCAGAGGGGCACACTTGTCATATGACAGTGCCATAAATCAGAACTCTCCACACGTTTGCAGCCTGGTTACGTTGAAACTTGGAATGACATGTAACCGTCTGGAAGTTGATCACAAGATAAAAATGTAATTGTAACCACCTAACAACCTTTGACTAAGTCAAGAAACGAGGACCTGTAGTTGTCCACATGAGCCAAATTAAAGGAATGGAGAGTTTAGACATGAAGTGTAGAGGGAAGCACTGAATGACTCATGCAATGCTAACTATTGTTTCAGTAAATACAATCCATAAAGTGCCTTGGCTATGTTTAAGGGAGAAGGCTGGATGAAGCAACAGATAAAGTACTAGTTGTTTGTTAGTGCAGAGAAAAAGTAATTCAAATGTTCCTGTTATTAAAGTACAGTCAGTGAAGTTTTAAAGGACCCGCATGGGAAGTGATAAAAGCTATGTCCTTATCTGAACCTGACATGACACATGAAAAGTGTTTGGAAGCTTTTAAAAGTGCTTTTGGACTGGTAGAGTCAGGAGATAACTTAAATCTTAAGGAGGCTTGAATGTTGCTTATCAAAAGACATGAGGTTGGGGTTAGGGTTAGAGTTATGAATAAAGCATGTGTCAAGGAGCTACTTAAAGGTGCAGTAAATGCAAACCCATGAACATCCTTGAGCTACTGCATGAAATTCGCATAGAACAGAAATGTGAAACTTTCTAAGCTAAATTGAACCTGTCAAGCTGCACTGTTCATGTTAAACTCGGGGGAAAGTAAACTCTCTGAGATATACAGTTTGAAAGTCGAAATCAAAGAAGTAAAATCAATGTTTGCAGCATTCACGTAACAACCTCATTGAAATTGTGAGTTGAAGATTGACAAATTAACAAATTAACTGAAGAAGCGTCTCGGATGAGAAGTGAAACGTCTTCAAAAAACTTCCAACGCCCAATCGCTTTGCTTTCCAAGCTCTTAAGAAAGCAAGAAAAAATGCCTGGATGAACAAGAGCCCTTTGGAACCCGAATGGATGAATCATGCACTAAAACTTTAAGAAAATAAAACACTGCCTCCCTAATGCTCCAGTTCTGGCTTTCACAGACCCTAAAAAGCCATACGTCTTGGATGTGGCATAAGTGGCCTTGGCGCTGTTTTATATCAGAAACACCCAGAAGGTTTCAGGCATATAGCATTTTCCAACCAGAAACTCAGCGCCTGTGAAAGAAGCTATCCCATTCATCAGAATTCTTGTCCCTCAAAGAGGACAGTTGTTGAAAAAATTCCATGATTATTGATTTTGGAAGCGTTTCACTGTACGTACTGACACCAATCCTCTAACATCAGCGCTCACTTTAGTGCTACAGAGCATTACCGGCTCTCGGATCTGAACCTTTCAAAACAGTTTAATATAGTTCATTATTTTCTGATTTCAGTGTGGTGTTCTATTATTCTTTTTATTACATAGGTACTAGGTTTAGAGTATATTAGTGATTTAGCATCACATTAGCATTTAAGTATGAGTTACTTTTGCTACTTTTGATACCCACATTTGATAGTTTTAAGTATGGACACTCATCTAAAGTAAATAAGACATAAAACAGCAATGAAAGAATAAATAGTTCTCTCATTTATGTATTCACTATTCATATTTATGTGTTTACTCAATACAGTCAGTTTAATATATTTAAATAATAATCTAGGCTGTTATATACGTGCAAATGGGCTACAGATACGTGGATGTCACTTGTCAGGGTAAAGAGGGAATGCAAGAGTGCCAACGTATTATTTCACAGTAAAAAAAAAGAAAAGGGGGGGGGGGGGGGGGGGGGGGTGCTATTGCTGTGGTTGTGCCTGCAGCTTTATGACATAAATGCAAGATGAGGCTTAGCCGCTACAGCGAATGACTTATTTGACTTTAATTTATTTTATGCATTGAATGGTTTACTCCCAAAGGTCATATTCCGTAGATTTTTGGCATGATTTACTTTATACAGTCAGTGGATTAATTGGTCATGGTAGGGGTCAGCATAACAGGTTTCGAGAGAATGTTATGTTAATCTCCATTTACTTTGATGTTGCATTGGTCTGTGCTGTGGCATCAAGGTTTGTGATGTAAAAAAGGGTCTGTGTCAAATTCAGTTGGATGAGATATGTTACGATGATTGATATGAAGAGCTGTTGCACTGATGAAATGGATTCATTGTGGCAACTGAAGATAATGAGCTTTACTCAATCAGCTTGAGAGGGTATCCAACTGCCATTTCAATTGAGATCTTGTTGACTGTTCGGGGCCTATTGGGGACAGACTAGCAGTGCTGCTCTCCAGCTGTGGGCTGTAGACTGTTTAGGAAGGACAGACACTTTGTCTTTTTTTACTTTGCACTGAATTTTTTGCAGACTTAAAAGAACAGAACAAAGTAAGAACAAACAAACATAAAACAAAATGGGGTTTTCAGAACCTGTTTTGTGTGCAGTGTTAGTTAACCTGGAATCAAATCAAATCAAATCAAAATTTATTTATATAGCACATATTAAAACAACAGTGTTGACCATAGTGCTTCACAGTCAGTGAAAGCATGAGACAATTAAAACAAACAATAAAACAGGACAACAAACAATAGGTAACAACACAACAAGCTAGAATAGCCAACTAGTTAGAATCAAAAGCCAAAGTAAAAAGATAAGTTTTAAGACGTGATTTAAAAGACTGGATAGACTCGGCAGTACGAATATGAACAGGGAGGTTATTCCAGAGTCTAGGTGCCACGGTTGCAAAGGCCCGGTCACCTCTTGACTTCATTCGAGACCTAGGTTGTGCTAGGAGCCTGTGATTGGATGATCTAAGTGCTCTGTTGGGATTGTATAAGTGGAGTAGTTCAGAAAGATAGCTGGGAGCTAAATTATTCAGAATTTTAAAAGTGAACAAAAGAATTTTAAAATCTATGCGATATTTAACAGGGAGCCAATGTAATTTGGCTAAAATTGGAGTTATGCGTTCATAGATTCTCGTACCTGTTAAAAGACATGCAGCTGCATTTTGAATTAACTGAAGGCCGGTAAAGAGAAGAGTGTTGGAGGCCTGAGTAGAGGGAGTTACAGTAGTCCAATCTGGATGTGATAAATGCGTGGATAAGCTTTTCAAGGTCCTTTAAAGGAAGAAATGGCTTTGCTTTACATATCTGACGCAACTGGCAAAAGCTGTTTTTTACCACAGTGGAGACATGTTTCTCAAGTTTAAAAGAACCATCCAGGAACACTCCAAGGTTTCTTACAGTGAGCGAGAGATGGCTAGCGAGAGGGCCTAGGGCATCAGCTAACTGGTCTAGCGGAGTGTGACTACCAAAGACTATGATTTCGGTCTCATTCTCGTTCAATGTAAGAAAATTATGTGATAACCAAATTTTAACTTCATGCAAGCAGTTGAACAGAGATTGCAAAGAAGCAGACACATCGGATTTCAACGGTGAATAAATCTGGATATCATCAGCATAACAGTGAAAGGAGATGTTGTATTTTCTAAAAATTAATCCCAACGGCAACATGTACAAAGAGAAAGGAGCAGGACCGAGCACGGACCCTTGAGGCACACCACAGTAAATAGCAACAGAGAACGCCCTCTCTGAGAGGTAGGATTTAAACCAAGTTAAAACCGTACCTTTGAGACCAACAACATGTTCCAGTCTTGATAGAAGAATGTTGTGGTTAACCATGTCAAAAGCAGCAGTCAAGTCAAGTAAAA